TCGTCACTTTTATCGCCCGATCCGCTATCCTCAGCGCCGTCGTCATGATCGTCTCCATCGTTTCGTTTAAGTCGCTCAATTAACTCTGACTTAACACCCGTCGTATTTAGCTTACGTCTTTTCAATTCGTCTTTCAGCTGCATTATCGTCATATCCTCGTATCGCTTGCTGCTCATGGCCGTCGACACCGAAGCACCGTCTGATCCTTTGCTCGATATCTTTGGTTTATTTTCAAAAGGCTTCTTTTCTTTTATCCCGGACGAGCCCCCAATTGTAGTAAAACGATGTTTATGGTTGTAATATATATATATTGATAATGAGGGATACAAAAAAAAGAGAACCCGAGATGAGAAACACAAAATGAATCGGCACGCTCTCGCTTCTCGCCGCTGCGCTCTTTTTTTAAATAAACAAAAAACGCGCCTTTCTTCTCGCTAAGCAACTCCCTCTACGCGCGCGCAACTTAAAACGAAATAATCGCTCGATCGCTACCTATATCCTACATATATAATACTAAACTTACAATAAAATTTCTTTAAAATTAAAACCACTTGATAGTTGAATTGCTAAGTTATATTTTGGTGCTCGCCTTTGCGCGGCAAGGAAGTAATCCGTATATCTCTTCGTAAATCGAGTAACGCTTCGTGGGCGGATGAAGGATCGGTAGAAATTGGACGAGAAAGAGAATCTTTTCCGAAATTCAACTAAAAATGTGCTTTATTACAAGAAGCGGGATACCGAGAACGCACGTCTAGTCTACACGGAGACAGCCGGACAAGTCCCGGCTTCTCGTTGTCCGCGGTCGCTCAACCTATCACTTCTGCCCTTGCTTGTCATCGTGTTTATTAGTCATCGTGTTTGTTATAGGTCCGCCGGTTTTTGTACTTGTTTACGACTTATGCCTTTACGTAACGACTGGCCGTGAAATTTGCTTTTCCGTTTGCTCGCTAGATTTTTTATCTTTGCGCAGGCTAACAATTCGGGGTAGTGGCGATGCAATCGCTACAATATAAAATAAATTAAAAATAAATTAAATTAATTAAAACTTACGCAGTATTAGCAAAGGAATTGACAAAGGAAGGAACGCTTATAATAAAAACCATGTAGATAGTCTCCTTGTTAGAAACTGACTGCGGAAGACTTAGCGAGGGTATTCAACCTTGTGTACACTA